TTTTGCAGTCTGCTGCATATAGTAATCGGCCCAAGTTGTGCCAGTAATCCGGTAAATTAACTAACGTTTGAAAACGACCGAATCTAACGAATGTTCGAGTGTTCTTAGCTCGACTGTCAGTTACAGGGAATGTCCCCATTCGCGATTATGGTCAGAAACAGCAACACCTTTTGGAGATGAATGCAGTGCAGTCAAAGCATCTTCTAAAGGATGAGTATAGCTCAATGTAATTCGAGAATGAAGAAAACGATTCATCAGATGGTAGCAGGTTCTTTTGCAGTTTAAGCAAAGGGCACATCATGTCCTCACATCATGTCCTTGATCATGATCCTTGCAAACGTTCGTGTCATGTCGTTGAGTAATGTCAAGTCGATGTCGTAGTGTGTGATGTTGCAAACTCTTCCGAAGGCAATCTCTTCCCCCTACCCAATTTTGCTCCTCCTGCTTGACCCTTTCCTACAAACGATGGTGCGTGTACGGGTACGTGGTTTGACGCTCAGTACGGTCAACCTCCCCTGTATCGGGCTCAGGATGACATCATCGGTGGAGGAAGGGCGCCATGGCTACAGTCCGCAGTGCGTCACACGCCCCATCCTTTGCAGAGATCGGGGTAGGTGACAAGAGAATCATAAATCGCAGGTGAGCGTCGCGTGCGACGTCGCGCCCGCTAATGACGACGATTTTAGGTGGTATTGGTCGAGAATAGACAATGTATGACCAGAAATTTACGTGTCTACCATGCCCTTGTCTACATGTAATCCGATGCTCCTATCGATCCGATGCTCCTATCGAAAGGGTAGCACAAAGTGAGTAAACGTCACGCCCTTTGCCGCGCGCGACGGAGTGGCAATCCACGATTCTCTTGCCCGTCTTCCGCAGAGATCGAGACTGCACCTTTTTGTTACCCTGAACGATCGCGAAGGCGATTAGGGTATAGTGCGCAAGAAATGGAAAAAAAAACTGAACAGTCAAAAGAAATTCTGTAGAGGTGAAATACAACGCTGTTTCTCGCAGTGTCCGAACACGACCCTGGTTGCAATTTCCGCAAATATGAAGCGCTCTTTTCAGACACCCATTTGCGTTCCAAGGACTCCCCTTACAAGGAATCCCCTTGTTAGTGAGTTGAATCGTGCGGGACAACAGTGTGTGGTTCATTTCAGGAATGCACTTTCCATGCTGGAAAAGCCATCCAATTTGTTTAAAATGCTGAACACTTATCCGCCCATACGTGCATGCACATTGAGATAGGACATTAGAAGCTACACTTGTCTACAGTCACGATCCCTGCAACTGATAGGACGCGTGACGCAGCACGCGTTGAAACGCAACCTAGTCCCAACATTGATGCCATCCTGATTCCACTACAGTCGGTGAGAAATCTGACATGGCTGCGCTCCAGGCCGACGCACTATCGTTTGCAAGGATCACGACTGTATATGATGTTCTGTATCCCGAAGACGTGAAGGGTGTGGCGTATACCATTTGAACGCTGAGCTTCTAGCGAACTAAAGCCATTTTGTCACACTTGTGATCTTGCCTTTGCCCAATACATAGAAAATAGGGTGACAGTTGCCTGAAATGGAAAACGCATACAACGCCAAGAAAAATGCAGCTACGCGTTTCCCATTTCTGGGATATAAAGTATATCCTTGCCAAATGGGAAATAAATCAGAAAAAAAAAGAAGATTTGTTCATCCTAAATATCTTTTGGGAAGGCACGGAATCCTTTCTCATCGCAGTTTATGCTTGCTTACACTACGAATGGTTGCGTGTCGTTCTCCAAGAAAAACCGACGCTGACCTTTTGTTGCCCCAATGGGCAGCATGTGCCAACTGATAAGTTTTCAATCACTGCGGTCAGTAAATGTGGGGAATAAACCCTTGGTCGTAGCGCTATTTAGTTACCTTCTCTGTATCAAAAAGAACGCCATTGTTTTGCGACTGTGGGGCAATGCAGCGACTTCTGGGGATTTCACGTAGCGGAGACGCATTCTCATCCTATTTTCCCTCTTATGCCAGTGAAGAACTTGAAGTACATCTGGAAGCTGGTCGCGGGAGAATCACTGAAACTTCCGATATCATTTCGGTCGCCACGTACACTCCTCCCTGAGACGGAGTAGGCGGGGCATTCGAACATGGCATAGAATCACAGCATGTCCTGCCGTTGGGGCAAATTCCTGCAAAGTATGATCTCCCCATTCCCTATCTTACCTACCATCTTCGTGGATTTCCCAAACCTCTTACCTCTTTTTCCAGATTTTTTTTCTTCGAGACCCCTCCACTTTCTCCCCAAAAAGTGATTTGGAGATAATGTACGTAAGATTGGAGGAGGGGATATTAGCCACATGGAACAGGAGAAATGAAAACACTTGAAACAATCTACAACAGAAAGCATTTTACTTGAAGGTAAATGGAACTCTCCTCCCCCCTCCCCCTCCGCTCAGCTCCAGCGACAAAATACGCTCGCTGGAGATCTTCAACGTACAAAGTGCCCTGCATAGAATGGGTTACTCGTCTGACTTCTCTTTGAGACACTATCATCTTGTTCAGCGTGGACAAAGACATGACCACAATTGTCTCAAAATGAAAATATCTCAACAAAACCAGAACCTTCGCCGCTTTTAGTTAGAGTGCGCCAGCCACGCCAACCCATCTCAGGGATTCGAAGTGTGTTGTGAGAGTTCCATACTATGGGCGCGTGGTCGTAATGGTGCAATGGACACATCACTTGAATTGAACCTGAAAGTCTAACTACACACCTTGGCATTCATTCATTCATCACTGATACCCTTTTTTTCCTTCCCAACCCATTCCCCAACAAAGTACGACTGCAATATTAAAAGTGGACGGCGTTAAACTCCTGGAAAATGCTTTGCGAACACTACGTTGCCAGCCGCTATCAAAATACAAGTATTTTTTCGGGAATCGTAAACGCACGCTCCGTACTACTCCGATTTTCTGACGCGCTCTATCGACAAACGTCCTCATCATTGCGGACCGGTGGGGCGTGGCAGTGCGGCTGCGTTTGGTGCGGGCTATTGCCGTTTGGACTCCAAGAACTTCCGCACCAGGCGGAAAATAAATTGTGGGGGACGTGGTCACGTACCATGCCTTCCATCTCACGCGCAACACTTGAAAATTCGCTCAGTGGTGCCCGGAGATGTTGGGGAAGTTAGGGCTTTATCGTTTACACTCGCCGCTGAATCTACAGCGGGAAAATTCGGGGATGAGTTTCCCGCGACATTTAGTCAATTTACCCCGTGAGCAACCAAATCTGCCTTCGCAAAAAAAGGTAGAAAACCGACCTGATATCGGAGGACTGGGGTAGGAACATATTGTATTGTAAACTGCATCTATTAAATCTTAATGTTACATAGTAATAGCAGTAATAGCAAAAATGTTACATAGTAATAGCATCTGGTGCTATCACTATGTAACATTTTCATTGGTTGTTTGGTCCTGTGTATACTGAATCGATCCCCAAGCCTAACGTTGTCTTTTGCGTTTGCTCTGTTACGCCCGTCGGCTACATGAGGACAGGGGGTCACGCGCATAACAAATACCCAGTGGGATGCATTGGAATAAGATCTAAATACAATACAGACAGTTAGATGAAACAAATTTTTGTTATTGCGTATCACCTAATATAAAACAAGAATTCGCTCGATAGGAAATTACATATGAACACGTACAGTCCTCATCATTGCGGACCGGTGGGGCGTGCCAGCCAGAAGGAGTGCGCACACTGTTGAAGCCGTTCTCAGCCTTTTTTGTTGCAACGCGTATGCGACAAAAAGTGGTAGAAAACGAGTAATACGAAGGATATAATACAGTAATGCACTTGCCCGCTTCAAAAACTGGTGCAGAACGACTTTGCCAAACCGCACCAAAGCAGCCGCACTGCCACGCCCCACCGGTCCGCAATGATGAGGACTGTATGTATGAAAACGACTGGAATCGGAATATTGTCAATTACAGTAGATAAAATCACAATCCTAAGACTGCTGACTTGGTAGGATAGGAAAGATCAGGTGCTCCTGAGCCATCATACTGTATTTCGTCACATAGGTGGCGAATCTGAAATGTATTCCTCTTAGTTTTCCTTCCCCATAACAACCTCATTTCTGCTGTGAGCTGCTTCATCTATTCACCTATTTCATTTAAACACACATTTTCAATACAATTCCACCGTACCTGTCTATATGGTGCTGGCTTGTCGTTCTCCAAATTCTTCAGTACACCAGAAGCATAAGTAGCAACGGATTTGTGTTCCGATCGCATGGCCTCGACCAAGATCGGTGTGACGCCTTAAGGGCAATTACTACCTTCGAAAAGCTCTCAATTACAACAATCTTCTAATAAATTCATACCAGCTTCTTCAACTGTGCGCGCTCCTTCGGGAGTCTTACTAAGCTGGTAGATGAAGGCCGAGCAATTCACGCTCAAGCAATTCGTCTTCAGCACCTGATATAAAACCACTAAACCTGAAGTTCCTGGGTAAATGAGCACGTAGCCTTCCGAACTCACATCGCTTCTGGAGAGAAACTCGACTATAAGGGTCAAGAAAGCCGGATCCTCGCACAGATGAGCTGCCACTGCTGGATGCGATGCCAGTTGGTGCAAGGCGGATACGGCACCTGTAGTTAAGTAAATGCAACCCCTCAAAATGGAGTAAGGAGAATTCTCGAACTAACCTTCAACTACACCCCATATTGGCACTCCATCACTTTCTGCAGCCGGATCTTCACGAATTGTGGCCGCAGCGTGGGCGAGAATGTCCACGGTCAAAGAGACAACTGTTTCGCCTCTTTCAGTTACCTCCTTGAAAATTCAGATGAGTTCCATACGTTCTTCGCGAGCACAGAGCGCAGGTTCAGTAGCTTCTTCAACATCGGGGAAGCGGTTTATGGCTTCCACTAGAGACTCCACACCATGGTTCGTGCACAGCTGTAACAATGTCATTGGTAAAGAGACTACAGTACAATGAGAAAACAACAAAAAACCAACCGTTTGCTTATTTCGAACATTATTACAAGTCAGATTACTCAGTATTCCGCAAGCACACGAAGTTTGGGCTGCATCTGCGACACGGACTATTTCAAGCAAGCGAATTACCTGCAGAAAAAACCCGAATGACTTTGCGAGAATAAACGAGGCGACACGAGCCTTACCAATGGCGCTAAGTTGTCCTCGTTAGTGGCTGCATCTGACAAATTTCTCAAAGCAACAAGAATTGCTAGCAGTACACGATCATCTGCCGCAGTGCACATTTCCTTGTACAACGCAGGCAGGCATCCTAAAAAGCATGAACTTATTGTGACATTTCCAGAGCAAGACAACTAACATACCCAGACTGGTTAGTGCCGCCTTGTTCTGTTGGCAGACCGACAGTGATCTTATGCATCGGATTACAGTATACATTAGCTTTGGATATTGTGAGTAGTTATTGAGGATGTGTACCAATGTTTGTGGCCCTCCCAGTGACAAGAATACGATTTTTGACTGCGGATCGTCTGAAATAATGTAGATAAGATTTATGAAGAAACTGATGATAATGAGAACTATTATCTTCGAACAACTTTCTATTCTTGTCTATGCCAGCAAACTATAAAAGTGTCTCTTGCACTTTGTAAGCATAATAAATGAAGGGAAACAGGTGCTGCCTCTCTAAAATAAACATGCGTAAACAGAGCAAAACACACGTAAACATGACAAACAATCAAGAACGGGGCAGTACCGAACAATTGCGAACAAAGAAAAACAATTATTGGAAAAGGAATACATAAGGCCCGCGTTCATACATGACGACGTTGCAGAAATGACGAAATTGCAGAAAGGAAAGGTATACGTATCGATTTGAAACCGCATTCCGCGGAATTTGCAGAAATGCCGAAATGACGGACAGTGACTTGATAGGGATTGATCGTTTAGCCTCACCAGCGGAATTTCTGCATTTCGGCATTTCTGCACATTCCGCACTTCTGCATTTTCCGCGGTTTTTGAAATTGATAGACATATTTTCTTCTTCTGCAAGTTCCGCGGTTCTGCACATTTCGTGGTGGCACTTCTGCATCGTGTATGAACGCGGACTAATAAATACAAAACAAAGAAAAAGGAGAAAACAAAACGATTGAGGACCAGGCAGGACGTGAGATGGAAGGCATGGTACGTGACCACGTCCCCCACAATTTATTTTCCGCCTGGTGCGGAAGTTCTTGGAGTCGAAACGGCATTAGCCTTTGGTGCGGTTTGGCAAAATCGTTCTGCACCAATTTCTGAAGCGGGCAAGTGCATTACTGTATTATATCCTTCGTATTACTCGTTTTCTACCACTTTTTGTCGCATACGCGTTGCAACAAAAAAGGCTGACAAGGGAAGGATGGTAGGTCGAAGTGGCCATTTGAAATGAAATGTATACCGGCTGAAAGGTCTTCGGACGGGAATTACGAAACCGTCTTCCATATCTGCTGCGGACCTCCCAGAAAGAAGTTACGGAGCTTTTTAGGGGGAGAATACACTACAATTGGCGGCGTAAGGCTGACGAGATCGTGGCAGCATGGCCGAGTGGATACGTCGTAGGGCTCACGGATGCGTGGTCGAGGGTTTGGATCCTTGATGCGTGTGCTCTTTTGCATTTTTTCGAAAGTGGTCCCTGTGCACTTCAAAGCTATAATACTTGTCCCTGATAATGTCGTTATGTAATGATTCTGAACTGATGGAGCCATTGCGAACCATTCCATAGAGATCACTTCTGGCTGTTGTCTTCTTCTTTCTTTGATTTGAAAAGCATACACAACAAAAGTGCATTCCAAAGGAAGATTTTGCCTTCAAATGACTTTATTCTGGAAACGACAGGACTCCAAACGCACGAAAGTTGTACACGAAGATGAGTATAGTGGGGAAAATGCTTCCATATGAAGTGGCGTTGATGTGACAATCATGCTGCTGGAGATCGCGATGGGCAAGAGCTTCATTCACCACTCACATAATGTTGAATTATGTCTATCTCAAAGTGTTTTCGTACCTGCTGGAAGTTTTCGGCTCGTATGACAATCTTTTCAGCCGGAGGTGATCTCCATGAAATCGTTCGCAATGGCTCCATCAGTTCAGAATCATTACGTCACGACATTATCAGGGACAAGTGTTATGCAAAATAGCTTTGAAGTGCACAGGGACCACTTTCGAAAAAATGCAAAAGAGCACACGCATCAAGGATCCAAACCCTCGACCACGCATCCGTGAGCCCTACGACGTATCCACTCGGCCATGCTGCCTTACGCCGCCAATTTGTAGTGTTCTCCCCCTAAAAAGCTCCGTAACTTCTTTCTGGGAGGTCCGCAGCAGATATGGAAGACGGTTTCGTAATTCCCGTCCGAAGACCTTTCAGCCGGTATACATTTCATTTCAAATGGCCACTTCGACCTACCATCCTTCCCTTGTGAGAACGGCTTCAACAGTGTGCGCACTCCTTCTTGCTGGCACGCCCACCGGTCCGCAATGATGGAGACTGTAATTCTGCACGTGAGCATGGAGGACGTACCCCTTTTTCGCATATCAAACAAAAAGTCAAGAAAGCGACGCCCACTGCCCAAGATCACCCCACTTCGAGCTTTTTCTTGGCGAGAGTGAAGTGATAAGGGAAGAACTGATCCCAACAAGTGTAACCAAATTCCGCTTTCTTCTTCACTTTTAAATCATGTCGTTAATAGTTGAGTCGCACAACTCACCATTTTTGAGCGGCAGGCGCTCCCTCAAATTGTGAGCAAGCTGGTGAGTTGGAGAAGCTCATTCTGAAGTTGGTAACGGTAACAGACATCCTACCTGTAAGATGGAGGATGATGTAAAACTTTCCCTCACACCGTCTAATGAAGACTTTGAAAAAAATCAACAAAAAGGGTACCCCAGTCAGCTACTGCTCCCTAGGTCTAGGTGGCATCAAAGCCAGTTGCCGATAGAACTGTAACCAGCTTTCGTTTATATGTCGTTTACATCAGCGCATTTTGCTGGCCTTGTTGTTCCACGTACCCAGTTCGCTTCACTTCTACAGTTGCAAAAAAAAAACTTGGAACAAGCCTTGAAGAGGCATTTTCATCTGTTCTAAGCTATTTCATCTTATACACCAGTGTCAAGGTCAGAATCTAGCAATATAATGCAACAAAACACTGATATTGAAATTTTGGTTAAGCGGAGATAGTGTAGTGGCAAGTGGCGCCACTTACCACAAGCGTGGTCTGGGGTTCAAAGCCCGGATCGGCTCCCGCCTGAACCAACCGAGTTTTTCGTGCCTGCGGGGAAAGCTAATTAGTAGTAGACTCGTCTAAGAAGATAAAAAGTCGACTCTATACTGGTAGCCCTCGCCCCACCCACAGGTCCCTCCCTCAGGGCACGCCATCGCGTTGGAATCATTTTCTGCTAAATACGACCCCATCTCTTCTATTAGGTCGTTGCAAAAGAAATGCAGGATTTTGCTTGCTTGTATTTCATACTTATTTTATTCCAATAATATGTTACTTTAATATGAAGTGTTATATACTATTCGGAAGCTCATCTCATGCTCTTTCTAAATGATACTCCAAGATTGGTTGTAATTCATTTTATTATAATTTTTATTGACATTTTATTGCAGATGTCGAAACGTGAATTTCGCACTATTTTCTTCTATGAGTTCAAGCTAGGACGAAACGCTGCCGATACAGCTCGGAACATCAACGAAGTTTGGGGTCAAGGAAGTATCAACGAATCTACGGTCCAACGTTGGTTCCAGAAGTTTCGCTGTGGCAACACCAGCCTTGAAGATGAACCTCATGTTTGGTGGTCTGCCGCCGGTCTCATCCATCACAGCTTCCTGAATCCTGGTGAAACAATTACGGCAGAGAAGTACTGTCAACAAATCGACGAAATGCATCAGAAGCCTTAACGCATGTGCCCAAGGTTGGTCAATATGAAGGGACTCCACGATTCCGGACTCTTCTCCACGACAATGCCCGACCACACTTTGCACAATTTACCCTCCAGAAAATAAACGGATTGGGCTATGAAACTCTGCCTCATCCACCATACTCACCAGACCTGTCGCCCACCGATCACCACTTTTTCAAGCATCTGGACAACTATCTTAGAGAGAAATGCTTCAAAAACCAAGACGATGTCCAAAAACGCCTTCAACGATTTTGTGGCCTCTAAAAAGAATTACAACCAATCTTGAAGTATCATTTAGAAAGAGCATTAGATAAGCTTTCGAATGATATATAACACTTACATTTTATTGGAATAAAATAAGTATTAAATACAAAAAAACGAAATCCTGCATTTCTTTTGCAACGACCTAATAGAAAGGGTCTCGATACGACTCCTCCCCTTGTCGGCTACTAATCTGGCAACAGCGGACAAACAAATACTGAGAAATAAAAGATTTGCAAAAATAAACGACAAAAAGACCTTAATCAACGATAAATATGAGAAACACGATGCAAATGAGCCACAATAACCATTAATCAATTAGAAAAGTAATAAATTATAAAAGAGCATCAAAAGACACAAGGAAGGAAAGAAAATGCGAGTGACAACTTTTGATTATCCCTGAGGGAGTAGGCCTAGCATTTGAATACGGCATAGACTGACTTACTCGTGGGATATTCTAGTCTGGGAAAACTGTCATCTTGTTCTATGTTGGACAGATACACGACAACAATTGTGTCATGATGAAAATATCTCACCAGAAGCATAGACACCTTCAGATTAAATTGAAGGATGCGCCACGCCTACCCGATCTCAGGGTTTTCGAGTATAATTGTTCGTTGTCATCCAAAAGTCAGCGCGCTCACACAAAAGTATTGGAGCGAGCTATTTCACGACCCGGAGCCAGTTTCAAGCCAAACACTCGAAAAGTACCCCTCACTTGAACACCCATAACTTCTTTGAGAGTAGAGCTTTTGGAGAGGGAAAGCAGGAATGTGGAGCACTAGGTTGGCACTTGTTACCTGAGTTTGAGCGATTTCAAAAAAAATTCCTTTTCAAGAAATTTTCTCCGTTGTGATCCGGTCGTGATCATCGGGGTCATTTACAAGTCCTTACGCTTTGAACAGCCATAACAAGCTTCATACAGGGCCATTCGTAAAAAGAAAAGCAGTGCCGGAATTTCGAAGCTTTCTACTTTCCAGCAAGACTTTCATTTTATCCCTAGGCCTGCTATTCGGAAAAATCCCCGTTGTGATCACAACGTGATCCCTGCCGGACGACACGAAAAACCCACCCATCTGACGCCATACCACTTCCAGTTCGTTTGAAGACTTTGGTATGCTTCTAAAACACATGTTTTCGCCAAGGATATCAGGAAATAGTTCATTGGGCGCCAATTGGCATCACCTCTGCAATGCGCCATGCATAGGGCTTTCACGCAGAGGTGTTGGGAAGGTGCAACTTCTAGATAGGGCTTCCTCCGTGCAAGCAGATGTGCTCCTGCGATCAGAAAGGTCCTGAATGATCGAGGGTTACAGGCCACGTCACGTCCAGCATCATATGGCAGTGCGAAGGTCTGACCTGTCATGACGGGACCGGGCTTCGATCCTGGCTTCAGTGGCCTTCAGACCTTCGCGTTCGTCAACACGTTAACATCTGTCGTGCAATCGCGGCCACCGTCAGCACTATATAAGCTCATTGAAAGGGTTCTCTCCTTCAACTTCTTTGAAAAGGTTCACTCCTTTAAGGTCATGGACTCTTCTGCTCCGCTGGACGAAGGTCATGTAGAACAAGAGGTGCCACTGTTTAAGGACTTCCACTTTTCTTTCGATTCCCTTTCATAATATACAGTAAGAAGCATTTTTCGTCAAAAACCTAAAGTCGCTAGAAAGGTTTTCTACACTGGTTTTGCCAGTTTGTACAGCTATAGATGAGCCCTGCTAAAGCTCTGCCTCAGTTATCGCCATCCCGTCCAGAAACGCTATAAAGAAGCTCAGCATGACGAGGCCTGAGGCGGAACACCGCATCGATGTCTGAGAGCTTCTGAATGATCGAGGGTTACAGGCCACGTCACGTCCAGCATCATACGGTAGGCAGCCTTGCGAAGGTCTGACCTGTCATGACGGGACCGGGATTCGATCCTGGCTTGAGCGGCCTTCAGTACCTTCGCGTTCGTCAACACGTTAACATCTGTCGTGCAATCGCGGCCACCGTCAGCACTATATGAGCTCATTGAAAGGGTTCTCTCCTTCAACTTCTTTGAAAAGGTTCACTCCTTTAAGGTCATGGAATCTTCTGCTCCGCTGGACGAAGGTCATGTAGAACAAGAGGGCAAAAGCTATCTATGAAACCGTAGAAATTGAATCCTGAGCAATTTCCTCACAACAAAATCAAACTCAACAAAAACAAACAATCAAAATAATTCACAATCAAATGGATAAGAAAAAAACTCACCAGGCCAGCTGGGAACCGGAACTATGGATTACTTTTGAATTTTGGCTGTTCGCGGTCAGCGCGCTCATACAAGCTCATTGGTGCGCGCTATTTTACGGCCTGGAGCCAATTTCAAGCCAAACACTCAAAAGTACCCCTCATTTGAACACCTATAACTTCGTTGAAAGTAAAACTATCGGAGAGGGGTAAGTGGGAATGAGTAGAGCTAGGTTGGCTCTTGTCACCTGAATTGAGCGATTTCAAAAACGTTCCGATTCCAGAGATTTTCCCCGTTGTGATCATCGTTGTGATCCGTCTGTGATCATTTTTGCGAACCGCGAGTCGCTACGCTTTGGACGTCCATGGCAAGCTTCATACACGGCCTTTCGTAAAAAAAAGAATTGTGCCGGAAGCTTGAAGATTTCTACTTTCCAGCAAGGCTTTAATTTTCTTCCTAGGCCTGCTATTCGAAAAAATTCCCCGTTGTGATCATTTCGTGATCACCCCCACGACACGAAAAATCAACCCCTCCGAGGCCAGGAAACCTCCAGTTGGCTTGAAGACTTTGGTATGCTTCTGAAACACATGTTTCCGCAAAGGGTATTAGGAAATAGTCTATTGGGCGCCAATTGGCATCACCTGTGCAATGCGCCATGCATGGGGCTTTCACGCAGGTTTTGGAAAGGTGTAACTTCTAGATAGGGCTTCCCAAGTTGCAAGCAAATGTGCTCCTACGATCAGAAAAGTCCGGGAATGTACTTTCATCTGTTTATTAATCGTCACGTCGTGAGTCCTTTTGTTTGTTTATAAATTCATGGTGCCCTTGTGGGCGGTGATCGTAGCTCCTATCATCGCCCCTTCCTCGTACGTATTGTCAGTATGCTACACCAGCGCCAGAGTGCTGGACGTGCTTGGGACGTACGTAGGTACTGCGACCCCCCCCCCGCTCGACAGCAAAATTTTGTAAAAAAACCAGAAATTTTTTGGGAAAAAATAGACAAAGTGGTAGGAGGTTGGAAAAATCTAGGGAAGAGGTGGGTAATATGGGAAAGGGAAACTCCGCTGTCGCTACCAACGGAGGCGATCGATACGCGTACACTCTTCTCGCCCGAAAGCGCCTAGTCGCCCAGACCCCCCAATCGCCAGATCGATTCCTACACTTTCCTCAACGCGCAATCGAAACTCGAATCGCCGAGTCTCTTCAATCGCAGTGTATAAACGCGGCTTAACGTCATGGGTTGCCGACCTGTACTGAACTAGAGCCATACCCTGCTTTGAACTTACCGCTTCTATCACAAGCGAATGTAAAATACACCTTGATTTCTTGCTTATCCTTTCCACCACTGTGTCCACATTCGACCTGTCCACATTTCCAATTAATGAAAGCGATGCGACCACTACGAGACTTTCGACCTGCTAACGTACTGCACATTTTCTTCATGGTGTTAATGTTAGCACACTGCCCACAAAGAGAGCAAGACCTCCTCATTCTGCAAACAAAATTGGATTTTTCTACGTATTTTGTCTGCTTCGGAAAAGGACACAAAGAAAAAGTAGGTGCTATTCCAACAAAGTGGGCATTAGTCACGAGAAACATCTCAAATAAATAAAGAGGACAGTGCTGAGAAACGGTCACTAGCCCGAGGAAAGATCTTTGTCAATTAGGGAAGGAGGCTCGGAGCTAATGTAGTCTGAGAGGACCCACGCTGCGAGATTGGGGCGACCACAGCAACTCTGATCCTCTGCACTCTTTCCCAACGTAGGCTAGTGTTGCTTCGGCTTACTCTCGTCTCGTGGCTCCTCCAAGTTTACTTCTTATCCCTGAGAAGGAGTAGGTGTGGCATTTATACATGGAGTAGAATGGGTTACACGTGGGATATTCTAGTTTGAGACAACTGGCATCTTGTTCGTTGGACAGGAGCACGACCAGAAAATTCTCCCCAAAAGCACGGCCGATGCCACTTTCAGTTGAAGTACGCAGCCACGCCTACCTCATCCCAGCGATTTCGAGTGTACACTAGCGCCTCAACCTCTAGTCGAGTATACTGGAACTCTTTGTTGGGGACATCTCGAATCACCGCGAACAATTTTCTTTTACTGAAGACAGTCGGGAAAGGGTTTTCGCCTGAGCCTGGGGGTGAGAGGGGGGCGGGGCAAGCTGCGAGGTAGGTGGAGTGGTCCAAAAATCTCATAATCGATTCGTCCACGGTTTAGACAAAAAACCTCGACGACCTGGCCCGCAATGATCTACCAACTGTGGTTCAATACAAAAAAGCCAATGAGATGATAGGAAAACGAAGATGGACGCTGAACATGAGCCTTCGTGCAAACCTGCAAGCTTGCAAACCTGCGGAAACGGAAGAAATGCAGTATCTGCAGAAGAAACAAAGTATATCAGTCGATTTGAAAAACCGCGGAAACGGGAGAAATGCAGAAATGTCGGACCTGCAGAAATGCCGAGGTTTCTGCATTTGCTGGTGGGCCCAGCGATCAAGCCCTAGCAAGCCGTTGTTCGTCACTTCGGCATTTCTGGAAATTTCGCATTTCTGCATTTTCCCTAATTCCGCCACTAGTTCAAATTGATACATACACACTGCTCTCTCCACATTTTCGCCATTTCTTCAAAGTTGTCAAGTATTAATGTCTAACACCGCAAGAACTCAAAGTCGGCCTCAAAGTAAGCGCCTTTCAAGCGGAGGCGCGTCCCTGAATCAATACAGTAGGATCCTCACTGGAGCACGTTTCCATATGAACAACGAGCGACATTGAGGGGGTTCTGACGTTACTATAATTATTTTAATAATAGCATAGGTTTGAATTAGAGCGGAATGGAATACACTGAAATTGAAATGGCATGTGAAAAGTACAAATGTTCATTTCTGGAAACAAAATTCATCCTGGCTTGGAAATAACTAGAGGGGTTCGCATGTAAGGAGACAAAAGAATTCATGCATTCTACGGCATTATTTCATGTTACAATCCAGCCGTAAGACCTCACGTTTCTAGCTCATGCTAAACACGCTTATCGACTGTTGCTTGAGAATTACTAGCAGGCTTCATTTTGACAGCATTTTTAGTACCCCGTTGAGGACGACTACTTTTTTATTCATCCCAGAGTTTGCTGTGTAACTGTAAAATTCTAAGTAGAAAGATAATTAACATCCATAAGCATGGGTACAACAAAATAAAATTCAAAACCTCTGTGTACTCATCCTTACCCACCGCTGGCGTCGAAAACATGCATTGATTATTTATTAATTTTGATCGTTTAATAGTTGAATTGTATTTACAGTTGAAAGCCATGCCTAAGCGCAGTTCCAGGCTACTCTATGGCGATGAGGTTTCCTCAACGGAATCTTTCTTCAATACGACATCTTCGCTGATACCGTACTGTGCGTAATTGGAATAGGCGTAGTGAAATTGTGGCGTGTGCAACCGCACCGCACAACTGCTAGAGAACAGAATTAGGCAATCTAATGTACGGTGTAGTGTAGACATGCGCTGCGTTTAAACACGCCGCCAATTCCACGATTTCCCATCCAGCTGCCTGCTACCCTCCTACTTCCCCATACGCACTGCTCCTGGACGCTGGTGGTCGCTGTTAAACGCTGGCAGACGCCAGATCAATACCGTTCCTCGTTCTACTTCTACTTTCCGGACCACTGGCGCTGGCGGATGCTCCAAACGCTGGTGGACGCTGCCGCAAGGCACGAATACGTCACAAACGGAAGGGGGGAGGAGGCCGTATTGAGGAGGAAACTCGTCGAGGATTCCTGACCGTACGGCATTAGCTGGTCTCAGTTAATTCATTCGACGGGATCAGTACTCTTGGCCGGCCTGTTCGCCCAGAAGCTAGCCAGAAGCACGAACCTAGTGGAATACGTTCACTGAGATTGAAAACGGGATGCGTGACAAGCATATCATGAAACAAAAGCTGAAACACAACACATATCTGAGGCCAACAAGAGGTGTAGGTGCCAGGCGGCGACAGTCTAGGCAAAATGGAGGCACAAGCGCACAGTTTAGGAGTGGAGTCGGCGCAGGAACATGCAACCGTGGACACCCCTTGTCGAAACACGGTACAGCGCTCTCGGGAGATTACCAGTTAGGGGGAGGTATTTGCCTTCGAAGAAGATTTTTCCGATTGTTGACATTTTGCTTTTTTTTCGTTTCGCGTAACTATACATCAACGCTCCACAGCATCATGTGGAGAGTCATCAGGGGAACTGAACTTGGTCGCTGGGGTAGGGGTCGTATTTGATATGGCCTCCATTCACGAAGAGTGGTAGGAAATTGGGAAACATAGTAAGACCGGAGGGAGGATAAGTGGGGGTTAGGCCAAATGGGGCAGCTTGGTATGTGGGGGGAGGGAGGGGGGTTGTACTGGCACCACCATTTCACACATCACAATGTTGCACCTGTGTTGAAAGGATAAAGAACAGAGTCTTCGCCGTTGCTCAATCTCATTTCTGGGATGCGACATGCATTCTATTTCCATGCAAAATCGTACTGACGTTTACCGCCCCCGGAGTATAACCGCCATCCAGGGACTTTAGTGGCAGCAGGGGTTGCGGCGCGGCTGCGGCGTGTCACGAGCGCGGCGATCAGCTGCTTCCAGCCTATTTTAGCCATTTCCTCCTTAATTTACACTGCTATGGCTGCTTTTCTTGAGATTAGTTGTTCCTTGTCTTCACAAGATAAATTATGACTGAGATTCCTCTGATTTTTGCGCACAATTGAACAGTTAGGCAGACAATTGAACAAACATCTGAAAAAATCGCAAAAACGCTTCATTGCAGAAACAAAAGAGACTCCACACTCTTATGTTTAGCGGTGGTCTCAAGCGAAAACCGGCCGTACATTCAAGGCTCTGACGAAGGCGATAAGGCCGAAACGTTAGCCAATAAAACTGTTATATCATCTTGGTCACGGCTACAGCAATACCCTAGAGAGAACTTCAAAGTATGCCAAGATTCATCGAGGGTCGAACCTGGACACTTAAAACAACCAACCTTGAAAAAAAAATAGAAAATGCAGTGAAAATTAGGGAGAAAATGGCCAAATTAGGCTGGAAACAGCTGATCGCCGCGGTCGTGACGCGCTGCAGCCGCGTCGCGACCCTTGCCGCCCTAATCAAGTCCCCGGATGACGACTGTATGAGGCTTGGTCTGTCTCGACGAGAGTTAATCCGGGATTCGATCCCCATGCGTGCGCGTCGTAAGCGTGCCACGCCACTACACCACCCCCGACTTCCGACATTAAAAACTGAGGTTTTCAGATGACACCTTCATTGGCCTAACGTTTCGACCTTCTCCTCTTCTTCAGAGGCCGAGGTATCACCGTGCGAAATCCGTTTTTACTGGTACAACTAACTTACTGCGTGAGCTGAGCTCCGCACGGTGATACCTCGGCCTCTGAAGAAGACGAGAAGGTCGAAACGTTAGGCCAATAAAGGTGTCATCTAAAAACCTCGTTTGGCAGAAGTATTTAAATATTCGACATCATGCCGAGGTTACAAGAAGGGACAACGTGGAGATTATTAAAAACTAAATATAAAATTCAATTTGGGTAAAATAATCCGGTCACGAGGCCAGTAGTGAAGTGGAAGGACAAGGGTAGACCAGGGACACAACTGGGGCCTTTATTAAGGAGCAACTTGATCCAGCGTATTGATAGACGAGAAAAGAATACTCGAAATAAAATGTTACCACTAGAAGGCGCGGCATTCGCAAGGAGCAGCGTCGGCATACTGGCGGATACTGGAGGCAGCAGACCAGATCGCTGAAGAAGGTGCTAGGCACCGAAATATTCGAAGAAGAAAGAGTATAAACAATAAAAAATTTTTGTGAAAACTTTTGGATTCTTTTGAATCTTTTGAGTCTTTCGCAATAAATTTTGGCGCCTCTTTTATGTGTTCAACATTCAGAGAAAAGAATAGTTCATTACGAAGAAGTTGGTCATTTGTGACCGGAAGACAATTTTTCACAGCTCTTGCATAGTCCCGGATCTGAACATGTGTTCGTAAAGTTTCGTTGTAATTGTGTTTTTCCCGTGTTCGTTCTCGCTTTGAGTAGAGGAGAAGGAGACGCTCTCGACGAGCGCTTTCTCCATCATCTTCGCCTCTTCTCCCTCCAGCTCCTCTTCCTCGTTATTCCTATTATAAACGATTTCCATGAAACTCTGGAAACTAAGCAGAAAAAAGCGCTAGAGTTTGGTGATTCACGTCATTCCTCGTTGTCTCGACGTTGCTATTGCCCTGCACATCAATGTCCATCAATTTTTTCCCCTTGGCACACTGTCATCGTCTCGCTGCACAATGCCAACCTGCTTCTCATCAGACCTTACATTACGTGGTACATCCATCCATCTTTTGATAAGGACAATAACTAGAGCTTATAGCCCTTTAATCTCACTGCTCTGAGTTTTGGTTCCAAAATTATA